CCCCCCCCCCCCACATAGCACAGAAAGATTACAGGAAGATTGCAGAAATGTTACATTGCAAGATTGCAATATTGCAGCAACGTTGCGCAACATTGCTGCAACGTTTCTGGAGGATTGCAGCAACGTTGAAATGTCCGCCCTCAGAGAGATTACAGTGCAACATTATAGCAATGTTGCGGTGCAATATTTTTGGAACAATTTGTTGTTGTTGTACATAAGCAGAGAATTTACTAATTACATATGCATCCGGGCCTTTTTCAATACACAGCAAGCTATTGCGAAGCAACCTAAGGAGATTATGTCGCTTCGCAATAGAGATTGCGAGCAACACCGCACTGATCAAGTACTTAATAATTCGCGCATTATTGGTATCAACGAAAATAACATTATAAAATTCTCGTAATTAGAAAAGTTTTTTAAATGGAAAATATAGTATTTTTATTATTTTTGAAACATTGCTGCAATATTGCTATCGAAAGTTTGCAATTTTATATCCCTGCAATATCTCTGCAAGATTGCAACGTTTCTGCAACCATCTGTGCTGTATGGGCCATGAGTTTACCGATCTTGATCTCACTGGCTCGTAGATACACCGTACAACCGTTGTTATCTGGAGGTCGATTTTCGGAACTTACGAAAATTACAAAAGTGAATGAATAGTAGAATATTTATAATTTCAACCTGCGAATTCACTTTTGTAAGTTTCAGAGATACACAATCCACCTTATCTTATTTACGGATTGGACGTATCAAGCTTGCTCTCACGAAAGCTTCATGCATATGACAACCATGTGACGCGCACGAATGCGAATCGGGTTTTCCGTTGACAGCATTCCCAGTGATTCCTTTCGGAACGACTAAGTCTCAAAAATGTCGGCCCACTCTGATTACGGGAGTTCGGTCTCCTTATACAGACTCCATGATTGCTACTCTGATTCGATGTTAAAAAACGATCAGCACGATTCGACGATTACGAATTCACCGATTCCCGCGGCCAGGCCGGCATCTTTCCGCGCGCGCCGCGTAACGTGAGAGCGTGCAGGTGCCGGGCGTTACACGGTGGCCGTCCGTAACCTCTTTAACAATGCCACGATGTCAGCGAGACATCGGAGGTAACAGTATCGGAGTACGGCGGACTAGTGTGGTACACGAGAGGAACTCCCTCGCAGGCTCCCGCGCGCGCTCGCGAGGCGCTCGTGGTGGGGTGTCGCGAGAGGGCACCCCGCGCCGGTTGACACGTCGTTGGCCGGGTCGCCCGGCAAAAGTGTCGGCGTAGCGCGAACCGACAACGACCACCGTGTCGCTACGGCCGCCGCCGTCACCTTTTGCGTTCGCCTCTTTCGCCCGCATTGGTTAGTCGCCGTCGCTCGTGGTGCTTCGTGCCGCTCCGCGGCGCAGTGTCGTAGCGGTACCGTAGTCGTCCACGCGATACACCGTCCGCTCGCCACAGAGGAGGGGGGCGCCCTACGACGATGTTGTGTCGCGGGCTCGCGAAGAAGGGGAGATGCTCCCCGGGGGAGCACGAATCTGCGGTGTTACGAGTAGGGGAAGTCAGCTGAACGGCGGTGGTGGAGAGGTGGTGAGGGTCGAGGAGCGACGAGAAGGGCAACCGCGCGCTCCACGTCGGCGGCCGCTCTGAGCGGTTTAGTCGCGAGTAGAGTCTCACCGCGTCAACGTGTCGGGGATACATCGCGAGCCGGCGCTACTGTGCGACGCGAGAGAGGGAGGGCCGTTTTCTTTCTTTTTTTCCTTTCGCCTGTCGTGAAAACAAAGAAAAAAAAAAAGAACGGCGCTTGTGCAACGCGAGCGAGGGTGCTAGCGTCTCCCTTTCTCCCCCCCGCCCCGTATGGCTTGGTGCTTGTGCGAAAAAAGGGTGCGTGCCGAGTACAAGTGAACCGCTCGTCGCCGAAAACAGCCCGCAGGCCTGGGTGCATGGCTTCGCGTCCGAGAGTGCCACCGTTGTTTCATCGCTGCGACGAGTGTGAGACGGGAACAAGTGCGACGGCGGTTGTTGGATCGCCGATGAGCCGTCGAGTGTGATAGAAAAAGTGGTGCTCTCGTACACGGCCGACGGCGCGAGCGAGGATCGACCGCGAAAGATGCTGACGTCCAGCGCGAATCAGTATCTCCGTCCTGATCATTACCTCACGCCGCTACCTACTACGGTTAGTCTCCCTCTCGCGCGCTCTTTCTCTCTCTCTCTCTCTCCCCACCCCTCTCTCTTTCTTCGCGTTATTCGCTTTTCTCCTCTTCTCTTGTCTCCTCTCCTCTCCTCCCGTCTCTCCCTACGTCGCTATTTACGGAGCCCATTATTCATACCCGCCGTTCCCGTTTGTACGTCGCGAGTTAACGATTTGTCGAGATACGCATCTCTCAGCGGTTTAAAGTCTTCGCGTTTAACGAGCGATATTTCCCGCTTGTCGTTTGCATTCCGAACGCGCGACGAAATAACGCCGTACGCGCCTGAGAAACGTCGGGCTCTTTTACGTTCGCTCGAAGGGGGGAAAAATGCGTGAGTTTAAAGCGAGGAAGATCGACGCGATTTGCAAGGAAATCGCGCGTAAATTAACACGGCGAACAAGATCGCGCGAGAAACAATCACGCCGAAGGCGTTTCGCAAGCGTCGACGATTCGAGAATCGGAACGATTGAACGAAGATAATTTTATTCTGAGCATCGTCTCGTAGTTGTCCGCGCATTGTGGTTTTATACTACGTTATGTCATCCGCAAACAACACATTATAAGGTTTGTTATATTTGAACGATGTTTCAATTATTTAAAACGCGGTGGAGTTTTTCAATATTATGGCAAAATCGTTCCGTTTGAATAGTAAACATGTATTTAATAATACACTTAAATTTAATTTCATTTATAGTGCAGGAAAATTGATAACCGACACAACTGGCAATTTTAATTAGAGACAATTTATTGCAAAAAAATATCACCTCGGCCAGGGTTTGAACCTGGACTTCCCTACACTGTAGGCGTCTCACCAATTCGACCACTGAAGCTAATTTAATTTAATTTATCGCAAACATATGATGCAGTAGAACAAAAGGGAACATAAAGTTCGTAGTGCAAAGGCAAAACACCAACAAAAACTGTTGTTATAAAGTCCATCCGTTTAGAAAAGGCAGGAGAAACCTATATAAGAACAAAATCCGATCGAACGGTAATTAAACCGCAGACAAAATTAAAAAGCGCAGTATAATAAAATCGAGATACGACCGTGCGAAAGAGATCAGTCGATATATAATGCATGTGTGATGTAAACTCATAAGAAGCGCACGCAGAGCGTAGATGTATACAGAAACGACATTGATGGTACGAGCATACGCTAGTCGAGGGAGAAAAACGGAGAGGCGATAAAGGCTAAGGCACAAGAACGGATGGAAGGGGGCAGTTTGTTGTAGCATTTAACAGAACAGTATGAAAAGGCAGCACGAAATTTGGAGGAATGATAAGAAGGAAGAGACAGTAAGTCAGGGTAACTAGTATGGGGAGTGTTGGAAAGAAAGCATTAAAAATATACAGAATCGAAGATACATACTGCACAAGATTAATATTATTTTTATTTATCTACTTAACACATTTACTATTGATTCTTGTTTGATCCTTTCGACTCCGATTTCGTTTTTTATAGTTATTTATTTATCGTTACGTTCTCCGTATCTCCTTTACGCCACTTTAGACTTATTGTTAGTCCTACTGTGGTCGTTACGTCGGATGAATGTGCCTTTGAACATAGTTCTCCGAGTGACGCCCAGAGAAGGATGTTCCTGTTTTTAATTTAATATCGATGACGTAATAATTGTAAGTGAAAATTTCACTTTATTCGCATTTTGATTTAAGTTGCAATTGAACAGTATATGAGAACACGCCAATGTGGGTCACAAGGCAAGATGTAGGTAGCTCAACTTGCAAATCTTATATCTTTCTGAAAAATCTATATATCGTTTCTTTCCACATTATTAGTTCTACGCGCCGATTTTCTTTTTCGGACATAACGCAGTTTATATTACACGTGTAATATAAATTGGCGTGTTCTCGTATACTGTTTAGTTTTAGATAGGGGTCTTACTTGAAAGTTTATTATTAAGTTGCAATGTTCTAAGAAAACTTGTAGATTATTAATTTCCTTGAAAATGACCGCAACCCGCATGGTCGAAACGTCGGAATTAAATAAATAAACCATCTGCCAGCCTAATGTCGTCTAACAATTCTTTCTGTCGTTAATTAACTACTGGCGATTCACATTCTTTCGTTGTTAATATTATTTGTAATGTCTCGGAAAGTACACGCGACACCCACATCGTTGCTAAGTCAAAATTATTCACAACTTCCTTCATAACGTATGTATGTCAGCATAGAAAAGATCCCGGAGCTGTAACCTTTTCTGCATAATTATCGTTTGCATTATTAACGCAAACGCAAATAGCCGAATGCCCCGAGTGTTGCGAGTGAGCCCCGCTTGAAAATATCTTTCCCAGCGGCTCATTAACGTCGCCTGTCGTCGTTTCGTTAATCCCGACGGAAACACGCGCGCCGCGTTTTAACGCTCCGAACTCCTGTAAACTATTTTGGGGACAGCGAGTGTGTGTGTGTGGTGTGAGTCTGTGCGTGCGTGCGTCGGCAGAGTCACCGGCGTGCGTCGTGCTGATTTACGCGCGTCATAAATCAAAGCGCGATTCGGTAATACAATGCTGATTGTTGCGCGGGGGACGAGGTGGAAAGGAGCGAGCAGAATGGAGCATTCGATCGGTTTTTCGCCTCGGTACGAACGGTACTCTTATATTTGGAGAAATTGAAAAATCCTTCCGATGTTTAAGCCGTAATCTGACACATAAGTATTGTGAGTGAACCTGCTTCGTAAAGAACGTAAAAAAATCGGCGAATGTCACGAAATATTCCGCGGCAGTTGGACTGATAGTCCAAGCTCCAGAAGAAAGGCAAAATACCGGCTATTCTTCGACATCTAAGGGCCTCGGTAGAACGGTTGACTTAGAATTTCCAGACAAGGTTTAGAAAATATTCATCTATTATTAACAGTCGTAATAACAATAAATCTGTTACTTTCGTAGGTTTATTCTTTACAAATTTAAGACGAGACAGTATGATGCGTCATTGAAAAGGAAGATTTAGAGCATAACATTGTAACATCTTAAAAGTACAAGACAGTAATTCTGCTAAAGCCGTAATTTTTACAAGGAAAGTACCTTCTACTTTCGGTATTTTGTAAAAGCGATAGGCCTACAAAGTAGGTCCTAATTCTTCCTCCGAGGAAAATACCTTTTGTGGGTTTCCTCGTATTTTGCGAAAGCGATTCTTACGCCTACAAAACAAGACGGTGGATTTGACAATGCTGGAAGAAAAAGAGGAAAAAGAAAAGACAATTTCTCAGCGGTGGTCACGTGTGTCGGCGGGCGGGGGCAAGTTTCCCGTCTCGAGGGGCATAAATTAGCCTCGGCAATCAAAAGCCGGCGGGCGGCATTAGCGGATTAAAATATTACGTTCGAACGTTCCCGTTAACTTTCACGAGCGCAATTAATATATAGCCTCGCGTTGCCGTAATGGCCTGTTGCAATTCACGGCATTAATATCTGTCGGCGTCGCGCCATTAGCGCGGATAGCTAACGCGAGTTAGCCGTTGCATGATCGTTGCATTTTAATTACGACGGAACATCTGTTCGGTGGACGTGTCGGTCCGACGGAGAGAAGTATCGCTTCTCTATACGTTAATTATACCGAGTGCATCATCGCGACCACCGCTCCGAGCCGGAAGGTGGAAGGGGGTGGGGGGGGGGGGGTAGGAGGAGACGACGAGGCGCCGATATTAAATTCCCGCACTTACATGCTAATGACGTCTGTATCGGGCGATAGCGTATTGATTACATCTCCTTGGAAATGCGTCTCGCGCGCTCAGCAGGAAGAAAAGAGAGATCGCCGCCAACGTTCCGCACCATTGGCACGCCGTGTTCCAGGATTTGTAGAAATTGTACAGTCGGTTGACAGAATATGGTTGCAACACTTTTTTTATAAGTGAGTTTAGGAACGCACATTAGATTCAGAATGAGAACTACTACTATATAGTATATAGTAATACTATATAGTATTATGTTACACATTGAATACAGCAAAGGTAGCAGTTGTCATTCTGAATCTGAACGTGTGTTCCTAAACTATAATTTTAAAAAAGTATTGCAACCATTCTGTCGGCGACTATATACGTGCGCGCGCGCGCTCGCAATAACATTTCCTCCCTCCCGCTGTATCATACCCACACAGCATAGAAAGATTGCAGGAAAATTGCAATATTGCAGCAACGTTGAAATGTCCGCCCTCAGAGAGATTGCAGTGCAACATTATAGCAATGTTGCAGTGCAATATTTTTGGAATAATTTGTTGTTGGTTTTTATACTATACTATTTATACTATAGTAACATTTTGTCGGTTGACTGCCACATGCTACAGACGTGCTTCTTGATGTCAGGAATTTAGTCTCTCCATATAAGATGATAATATAATACTTTTATGTCTCCAATTTAACAGAAGCGCTAAACATTTTATGAAAATTGACTCATTGTGAGCGCGCACTTATGTTAATTTAATGCACTTGAGAAGGACTGGAATCGCAGTCGAAACGTATTGCTTGTTTCTAATAAAAGTTGCCAGTTGGTCGAAGAAAGGAAATTTGTTTATTTATTACTCACTGGCGAAGAAAAAGGTTTCATCTCAGAATAATTTGTTGTTGTACATAAGCAGAGAATTTACTAATTACATGTGCATCCGGGCTTTTTTCAATACACAGCAAGCTATTGCGAAACAACCTAAGGAGATTATGTCGCTTCGCAATAGATGGAGATTGCGAGCAACACCGCACTGACCAAGTACTTAATAATTCGCGCATTATTGGTATCAACGAAAATAACATTATAAAATTCTCGTAATTAGAAAGTTTTTTAAATAGAAAATATAGTATTTTTATTATTTTTGAAACATTACTGCAATATTGCTATCGAAAGTTTGCAATTTTATATCCCTGCAATGTCTCTGCAAGATTGCATGTTTCTGCAATGTAACTGCAACCATCTGTGCTGTATGGGTAGTAACTTTGCATTGCAATATCTCCACTCATAGGGCATGTAGAAGAAAAATAAAAACACTTTTATTATGCAAATCGAACCCAAGCTATTGATTGAGTCCACTTAAAAGTTCATCGGATTAGCCGTTGTTGAGATCCGAAAATTTGAGGGCCTGTCAACTCGCGTACTCGCGTAAACTACACGGTCGCTCTCGCGCGCACGGTTCTAGCTGCGCTTATACTTGGCACGAGACACTACCGTGTCTCGTGATAATTAGTAGGTCCACTCTCTGTCGGCTCCTTTGATCTTTGCGGTCCCGATCACGTCGTATTCCGCCATGTCTTTGGTCCACATCCAACGGCATGTGTGTGTGTATGTACATACTGTAGTTGTATGCGTGGTAGTGTATCAAAACTACACTACTACACGTATAACTTTTTCCTCATTGGCTGAACCAACAAAATGTCGGATGCGCAGAAGGGATCGACGCAAAACGAAACAAATGACGGAGTGGACCTACTATTTTTATACCACGGCTGTACGGTCGGTTTGTCCGCGAATGAGGATATCATTAGTCGCGATTTCGTAGGTATATACCATAAGTTTGGAATTAATACCCGCGGATTTATCATTGTTAGCGGAAGTAATTCAATTTCAACGCTGACAGGTCGTTAGGAAGAAATCTGGGGACACACGTAGCTCGGCGTAAAAAATTTCTCGATAAATCAAAAGGGCGGGCGTGCCGCGGGATAAGTTTGTCCGACGCACCCTTTATCCACGTCACTTCTCGCTCGGGGAGAAAGAGTGACGTGGCGCTACAGATTGCGGTTTGCGCGTCATTAATTGGACTTGCCTCCATCCAGACGCGTCACGCGCCAAGTTTCGAGAGTTGTCAGATCCGCGTATTGCGGTGTGTAACAGTCGATCGAAAATCACCGACGTTATATATTTGAAGAGAGGTCGGGCTCGTTAAATGAACAGATTCGCAATCGACAAATAGCAATTATTATAACTGATGTGAGTCAATTAATAACGATTGCATCACCATGTTTATAAATATAAGAAAATTTTCACATATCAATCAACGTTAACACGACTTATTGATTTTCGAGGCGATACAATGTAGAATGTGGAGATTTTGTATTGAGAGATTTAAATCGGTTATTTTAGAAATCAATAATTCAATTCTAAATGACAATAGAAATGTTATGGCTATATGTATAGGGATGTGTCACGCGTTTCCATCGGTAAAGAAATCATAAAAATCCCTTCTAATTTTTCTCGAAAACAGCTTTACGGAATAACTTGAAATTTTCACAGTCGGCGTCTGATTAATAGAGGAACAAAGTGGTTTTTTCGTGTTTTCCGGATTTTGAAAAATATTGCAGATTTTACGTAGTAAATGAGACTGTAATTTTTTTCAAAATTAGGAAAAACAGACAACTATTTTGTTCCTATATTAATCAGACGTCGACTGTAAACACTTCAAGTCAGTATGTAAAACCATTTTCGAGAAAAACTGGAAGTGGTTTTCATGATTTCTTTATCGGCGGAAACGTGTGACACACCTTAACGCATTACTTGTATCGAGGATTAACGCGGTATTCAAAGATCAACTTGTCATCTCACAACATAAATCTCCCACTCGAAGTTGTACAAGTTTAATTTTCTAAATGTTTTCCATATTTTTATTTCAGCTGGATGCGAAGAAGAGTCCACTCGCGCTGCTCGCACAGACCTGTAGTCAGATAGGAGCGGATCCACCGTCCAACAAATCGTTATTAAGTTCCTTGGACAAGACATCGAGCAACAGATCATCCAAAACTACGGAGCAATCTCGCGACAAGTCCTCGCCGGCGGCGACGGCGTCAACGACGGTGCCAACGTCGGCGAGCGAGTCCGCGAAGACCAGCTTCAAGCCGTACGAATCCTGCCTGGGACGTGAGAAAGCGTGCACGCCAGACGAGTCGCGATCGACATCGAGCGGCCACTCGACGTCCGGCCGCTCGAGGACACCTGGCAATAGCAGCAAACGATGCCCGAGCAATCAGAGTGTAGCGTCGACGCGCGCGGTCACCCCGCAAGGTAGGAAGACGGCGACACCGAACGGCGAGGTCGCGCGGGACTCGCCGGCCTCGAGAAGCTCGGCGCCCTTGGTGCCGTCGAGCACAGCGGACACTTCCGCGAGTCAGCCGGCCGTGAGCAGTCCCTCGTTACAAGCGAAACCCGCCTATAGTCCCGTCAGCGTGCTGGCGATGGCCGATCCATCTATCAAGGATCTCCCATTGGGCACGTTCAAGCCCGGCGTCAGTCTACCAGTCTCCACCGCTGCCTACTTGGGCTACAACCCCAGTCAACTGCCCATCGACGTGATGGCCAACTCGCTTATGTCCCACCACGCCGCCCTAAAGAACGGTATCAACCCTTATCTTTACGCGCGGCTCAAGACCACCGGCGGACCCGCAGAGAGCCTGATGCCGATATGCCGCGATCCCTTCTGCACCGGCTGCCAACTGAACTCGCACCTACTGTCGAGCCCCGCGACGGCCGCAGCGGTGGCCGGCATCGCCAATGGCAAATTGCCGTCGGGCGCGAGCGCGACGCCGGGCTCCTGTCCGGCCGGGTGCGCTCAGTGCGATCACAAGCCCGGCAGCGTTTCGCCCTATAGCTCGCTCGGCGCGGTCTACGCGCACGCGCAGCTGGCCGCGTTGGCCGCCGGCACGCAGCTACCCTATGTGTGCAACTGGATCGCGGGCGACACCGCGTACTGTGGTAAGAGGTTCACCACGTCCGAGGAGCTGCTGCAGCATCTCAGGAATCACACGAGCGTGTCGGCGAGCGGCGGCGCGACCGACCCCGCCGCGCTGTCCCTGCTGCCCGGGCCACCCCCGGGGCTCCATCCGACTCATCCTCTGTTCGCGAGGTCCTACCCTACGCCACCCTTGAGCCCACTCGCCACCGCGCGCTATCATCCCTATGGGAAACCCTCGCCGCTCCTGACGCCGTCTCTGCAGACACTCGGTCTGCCGCTTCCGCCGCCGCCACCGCCGCCGCATCCGCACGCGACCGCCGGACTGGCTTATTTCTCGCCGTATTCCATCTACGGGTCTCGTCTAGGTGCCACCTCCGGGATGCATCAATGAGTTTCCGGCAGCGAGGATTTCCGCGAGACGAATGTGCGAGCGAACTGTGATTCTGCTACGGATTCGAATACGTGAGGAGCATCTCTTTCTATTACGCGGTGCTTTCGTCACAGAATCTCGTATGGGAAATCTGGATTCGTAGAACGGATACCGAAGCGGTAGGAACGTTTTTCGATTATACTATGCGATAGTATACTCAGTGCGTCTTCCGCGAGCCGTACAGTCGCGAGCAGAATGATTGCGAGACTGTTTTTTTTAAATAAATGAGTTTAGAAACGCGCATTTAGACTTTGGAACATATACAAGGTGTTCCAGGAGGAAAGATCAATGTTCTGGGAGGTGATATAGTAGTATCGGTCATTTTAAGCAAAAATGTTCATATGTGTTCCATTCCCCACTGTTTCCGAGATAGAGCTATTTGAATGTATGTACAGTTGCAAAATTACTGACAAGAAAGAAATACTACGCACTAGTTGTGGCGATCGTTGTGGCACAGAGGATTGTGCGCTGGTCTGGTAATCCGAAGACCCGGGTTCAAAACCAAACAAAAACATTGTTGGTTTTTCGTTCGCCACATAGCGAAGTGGATATAGAGAGAGGTGTTAGAAGAGGTTTGGGCACGTTCCTTTAAAAACGCCTTGTAACCCTAAAGGGAATCAATAAAATGTACTACGCACTAGTTTTTGGAAAACTTGGAAAACCTTGGAAAACACTTTACGATTCGGAATTCTGCATGTAAGAATGCGTCGACGGTATTCTTTAACAGCGGTAGTAACACTACCGTCACAGAAACCGTAAACATACAGCATATCTGCATATTCGACATTTGTGAATATGCGAGGCATTTTGAACATTTCTACAATGTTATCGACACAACAGTCAACAGACGTATAAGAGTAAATTCCCGCGGACGTTTATGAGGATGAATGAAGGGTGAAGTGTACGGACAAAAAGTAAATACACGAGACATTCAAGTAGCTCTATCTCGGAAACAGTGGGGAATGGGACAGATATTCATATCAACATTTTTGCTTGAAATGACCGATACTATCACCTCCCGGAATATTGACCTTTCCACCTGGGACACCCTGTATACGTGGAAGGGGAATTGCGTATACTTTCATATCCGACGAGTCTGTGTCCAACGTCTGTGCGCGAGAGAAAGGTGGAGAGTCCTACTCGTCTGCATGCACTGGTGTCGTCGTTGCCATCGTTACCGTTAACTGTTGGATTATAATTTTTTAAAAATAAATTTGTAAATAGCTTGTTTTCGATGACACAACGGTACGATGGCAATGATGATATGAGTGCGTGCGCATTACAGACGAATGGGATTCTCTTCTTTCCCTCTCGCTCAGATGGTGGACACACGATCTGCACTCAATTTCCTTTTCATGTATAGATATTCTAAGATTTAGAATCTGAATGAGAATGACTACTTTATGCTACTACTACACGGAGAGAATTTTTTTCTTAAAATTTATCCCGAAAATCACGTTGGGCAACGTGGTATTTCAAAGAATGTTACGAGTTTGAAATTTTACGATACATTCTTCCAGTAAAATGTATTGTAAGTATAATTACCAGTAAAATGTGTGGTAAAATTAAAAAAAAACTCTTATACAGTTCTTCAAAATACCTTTGAACTACTATACTGTGCTATACATTGTATGTGGAAGTTTAAAGAGATCACAACTATTCACTGTGCAGAGCGAAGGTAGTATTTCTCATTCCGAATCTAAGTGCGCATTCCTAAACTCGTTTAAATAAAAAAAACTTGTTGCAACTATTCTGTCTACGACCGCACGCTAAGCTTTTTTACCTTATAATTGAGACTCTAATATAGAATCCGAAAGTATAGTATGCACATGAAACATCCTGTAATTGTCCCTCGGTACGAATCATTACTGTTTCGATGTTGCAGACGGATTTGGTATATTTTATAGATATTAAAATATTTCGGAACTAATTGTTTTTTTTTAAATATTATAGATGGTATTCGAGCGTTCTATCGCGAGTGCTATTTTCGATAAAAAGTAACATGCTGTATCTGTATGTTTAGTCTTTTTTACTTCCGAAAAGATAAAATACCGCCGTTATCGCGCATGCCTACCTCAGCTTTGCAAGAGTAATGATTCAATTTTGTCGCATTTGAGATACTTTCAGGCGATTAACCCTCGCTCAGCAGTACTAGGTAATAACGTTTGAAAAGCAACGAGATATTTTATGAAGTCATTGTTTTCAGAATAAATTGTATAATATATATTTATCGGACATTTCTAATTATCTTGAAATAATCGTTTATTCTATTTTTCTACTTTGTCCATCTTTGTTATTTCATGTAGCAAAGTAGTTTACGACAAAATCAAAGTAGAGAAAGTCTTCGAGGTGGACAACTTTTGACTGTCTTCAATCACCAACTTTAAGTCGTTAAACGGAAGGACTCAGGTACCGCATTCCATGCGACTAAACATTCCGCTGTCCGAGGGTTAAACGCCTAATGCAAACGTCGCCGAGTTGACTGCTTTCGTCTATTACTTGGCATTATCTGTCAGACTCGTAATTTCCTTGCCGCCAAGAGCATCGGCCGCGTGTCAGCTCAGGCTAGAGGCGACGAATTTATGACGAAAGCCTGTATTAAAATGCGCGCCGGAAGGGCGTACATTTGGATGTGTGCAATTTAAACACAGTGCTATTAAATTAATAAACTCTTTCGGAGAGCCGACAAGATTTTAATTTACGATTAAAAGTTGCGTGACGCGCGAAAGTAAATTTTTCGATATTTTACTCGTTCTCTGTCCATCTGCTCTGTCGGACGTACCTCTCAGTATCGGATGACGAGTGCCACACCAAAACGTCGAAAAACCAATGTTTAACTGTGATTTCCGAGTGAGAAAGTTGAGAGAGAAAGAGAGGGAGAGAATGCGATGCGATGAGCTTCCGCGAAAGAGATTATACGCGTTGCGAATATGTGTGTGACTAAGAGTTTGTTAATGAACGCGCAATTACGGGGATTTTATTTCGAATGAAAGTAATCGTCGTAATCGAGTGGACGAACGTTTTATCACGTATTCACTTCAATCGTTTGGCGAAGAGTTTGTTGTACGCCAAGCGCGGATACGATAAGTTTATGCAAAATAAACTCCGTGACAACGGTATTTTTTTCTTTCTTACGTTTGTGTCAAAAGAGGACTATATAAAAGTACACTCCACGTTTCGACGCGGAATTTATTTGTTATTTATACTGTTCGATCTTGATTTATATTGTTGTTGTGGCAAACAGTCAATTTTCTCAATGGAAGTTGGATTACTAAAGTTTTAGCACTATCTTTTATTTAAATATTTCATAGCATATTAGGTATGCTCTCTTTTTATGCGGCAGACATGAAAATGTGCATAATTAATATTTCATCATCTGCTTTTTATATACTTTACGTAGAAATGTTATATGATTAATTGTTTCACAGTTGTCAGGCATATATTGCACAGTATTCTCCGTTTGAAATGATTGTGTTTTTTCTTGGCATTTGACATGCATAAATATTTGTATACCAAACAAATACAGAAATAATGTATGTATTTATGAATACTTTTTGACATTTTGTTAATTCGAAATTCGGAGCTGCAGTGTGGAACAAGTTCACTTTTCATCACTTTCGACTGAAATATTCTCCGTTTTTGCGATTGTGGGAAAAATAATTGATATAATGTAATCACTCTATATGTACTATTTATAAATTATATCAATGTCCTACTTCCCTTGTAATTATTGTACATTTGTTTATAGGTATATAACTCTAACAAAAACCCTAAATAGTTCGGATATACATATATACATACGTATATAAATATTATATATATGCATATGAATATATGTATAAATATATATATATATCTACGTCTATTTTTGCGTAACCAAAGTTTTAGTAACTATCGATACCATCGATCATCGATATTACGTAGCGCATCGAACTTTATGTACATGACATTATATTGAAGAGCGACGTGAATGACTATTATTACAAGGTATTGTAAATAGCTTTATTATAATGCAACGTTCGTAGTTACGAATCGAGAGACATTGTGAATGTCGAGGAATTTGCTCACAATTCTAATTCTTACGTTGACTCTATGTATCTCTGATTTTTATATGTGGTTACAAAGCTTTGTATTTACTTGGCACGCATCAGTGTCGTTATCTACATCAACTCGTCGTTATTCTATCATTGTTTTATTCTATGTTACTCGAGAGTTTGATTTTTTTTTCTCAAAACCGAAATACAGCAAATCGTTTCTTACAAAAATAAAACTTTCGTATTTATTAATGTTATCACTGTCCCAGATAGGTTAGTTCGGAATCTTTTGTGAAATGTACAAAAAACCGGGAGAATTTTTTAAATAATCGACCAAACTGGCAAAAAGTGATGTACTCGTATATTTAAGTTATAACGTTTCGACCCTTTTATCGGGTCCTTTTCAAGCGCAATCTGGGAACAATTTCGAAGGTACAAACCGCAATATAAAGGAACTTCTATAAATGGCTAAAAAATTTTTTTCCAGTTTGATCAATTATTAAAAAATTTCCCCGTGCTTAAATAATCACTGGCGACAATAAGCCTCACTCAATTCGGTTATACAAAAAAAAACTTCACTTTGCACGTGCAATATCTATTTAAAATGATTTCACAAAATGTATTTATGATGCATACTATATCTATCGATTGCACGAGGAAAATATCATTTACAAGTTTAAACCGAATAATTGAATTGAAGATATAAAATCGTTAATTCATTCATTCATAAAATGGTAATTAAATATAATACGCAGCGCACAGTGTACGATAAAAAACAGTTTATCGTAATATGTATATAAATTAATCTTTCCACTTATCGTTATTCCTATTAATATTTAAACTGTTGATGATTATGAATAAATTATTCTTCAACAATTTTCCTCGAGACCCGCGACTCGAACTTTATTCAGGGTATTTGTACGAAATTAGTATAAAACTTTTCTACAGTAGTGCTTTATCGTGCGCAAAATGACAACATGCAGATGTGTGATGAACGACACTACATGTAAATTCGCCTAACGTTCAACCGACTGCACAAATTAATAATGTTCAGTCAAATGCCCCGGTGAGAATTATAAATTATGGTCGTCATCGTTTCTGTCGTGTTACGGCGAATCAATATTAGCGCACTCGCGTTTCCAGTGTAAGCACAGCCTTAATCACCGTTGCTACATTGAAATAAATCATTTGCAATATAACAAACGATCGCGTGATAAAAGCATCGATTTCCCGATGAC